GCAATCTGGAATAAATTTTCCAGCTGTCAGATTTCTGTGGGAATTTTGGGTTTTGGATCCTGCAGTAGTAGATTCTTATGAAATGTAATGTTTGGTCAAGTTATTCACTAGGACAGAGCAGATGTGACCTGGCCTTGTTGATCTGATAGAAAACTGCCAATACACTGTCTTATACCATATTTTATTAACTAAAAGAATTTGAATAATTTCCTGGTATAATCAATAATGTAGAGAAGAAGCAACTGCAGACATATGCACACTACTGTCAGCACTTCTTCGCTGATGTGTCTTCCACATTGGTACTCAGAGTTACATATTTTAAATAGAACCCTTTGTTTTTATTCTGAGGAAAACTGTTAGGCCATGGACTGGTTTAACTTTGTGAATTTGTAAATACATTTGAGAATATAGTTTTAAAGTGTTGTTTTTCCATAAAACTCAATGTCAATAGAGTTTTCTAGTTTTTCATCCTTGTTAAAACAATTTAGGTGATAGAGCTTCCTATGATGTACTCTCCACTGACAGTCACAGAATTATGACTGCTTATAAATTCTTCTATATACAAGTGCTCTATTTATGACTACAGGGATTGTTTTCTGCCTTCATCAATAGTGCAGTGTCAAATTCAATATCTACCTTGAACTTAAAGTTGTCTTCTTTGTTACTGACTGTCAGGAAAGAGTCACTACTGTGAACTCACATTCTTCTTCCTATGCATACAACACTACTTTAATCTCTTTTAGAATCCGTTTTTTTTTTATAAGTAATATAGCTTACCAATAAATCCTGAAAACTTTTGCTTGTTATTAAATATACAACCATTTTCTATGGTCATGGGTACATTTCAATAGAAAAAAAATTTTTTTTCTACTACAGCAAAGAACTACAAATCAGTAGCCCAAAACCAAATAGCCATGAGGTCCATTAAAAACACTCACAGGGAACAACAGTTCCCAAATTATAATTATTTTCTTCTTTGACTACTCAGTTTTTAGTTATCTTAATTTAGTTAATATGCTTTGCAAACAAATCTAAGTAAAATTTTAAAATTAGAATAACAACTATTTCACTGATCTTCAAGCTTAGGAGCCAAAGAACTAGTGACAATATTTTAATCTGTTTATATTTTAATTTTGAAGAAAAAAATCCAGAATTTATCTTAGATAGAAATCTAGCTTGTCAGTTGGCCATGACATGCATATATAGCTACACAAGCTCTGGTGGCTTCTGCTTCATCTGGATGAGTGATACATGGTGTGTGTGCTATGAAAAGGAGCATATAGAACTATTTAGAAACAAAACAACTTTCCTGTGTCAATACATCTGCTTTGCTGTACCCAGTAAAGTGTCATTAAGATTTAGATTTTTTTTTCCCTTGGAATTGGACTTACTCCATTAAACAATTTATTATATTTAATGAGTGAGTTGCAGCCAAAAATATTTCTCCATTGCTATCTGTCAGGTCATCTCATAAAATTTTCTTTGTCTGATGTGATGTTTTCATTAAGCTATGTTAACTGTAATTAATCATGCAACTACACAGTATTTTCCTATTGACAAATCCTGTCTCAATATATACATCATGACTTTGGTTCCCAGAAAGAACAAAGGAAATTATTTGCTACTACTACAGTAAATTACTGCACATAATAAATATAAGCAGAGTAGCTATTACTATGTCAATTACATATAATTAATGCTAATTGGGGATCAAAGGCTTGTGCCAAGAACTTCCAGCAATATGGAAAAAATAAAACTACTACTCTTCTATTCCAAGCATTTCCTTCTCTTTGAAACTAAACTAGAGATTAATTTTAAAATTTGAAATCTTAAATTAGATTTCAAGATTTAACACCTTGATTTTCTAAAAAACCCAAACAAACAAACAAACAAGAAACCCTCCAAATTTATCTCAGCTGAAATTCTCTGATTTCTCATCAGTATTCAGTTTTCTAATAATACTGAAAATATGTATTTTCTATGAGGAAGAAAATTATGATCAAGAAAGTTACAATTGAGAGAGGCGAAATAAAAACATGCCTGGGCAGAATCCATAGTTGTTCATGTCTTCAGAGAGAAGTTAACTTATAACTGATGTACAATTCCTTATCATGCAAATAGAGATGCCACACTACAGACTGACTGTCAAGGAAAAGTGCAATTATTTTCAACTGTAGTTCAGTACAATTTATATTTTAAGAAACATTCCTCCAATTTGTATCTGGCTCCTTAGTATTTTTCATTCTTTCCTCCCCTTTTCTGCTCCATCTTATTTGTCAGTCCCAAATGCCTGCCATACTAGTTTTCTATCAGGTACTATACCACACCTTTCACTGCTGAGGGCATAAAAGTTTAAGAAAGGAAACAATCCAGCCTTTTCTGTGCCACATCATTTAGTTCCTTCTTGTAGCCTAATTCAGTGTCTGCTAAGAAAGTATCACATCTTATACTGGTCATGGAAGTGTTTCTGAGGATTATTTTCTGAAAACATTTACTGTTATCCAACTATTTTGCTAATTTCTTACAGTAAATGTTGGCATATATACGAACTACACAAAAATTCGGTACACAATTTTTGTTTGCTTTCCAGAAAGGTTTTGGTTTTTTTCTTTAATTGTTTTCTGTTTAGTTACTACTCACTTTGACGTCTGCATATGTTGCACACATTGTACTTACGGATTAATTATAACACCCATGTATTATAATTGTTATACTTTAGGTTTTGCTATTGCTTGCTAAATTAGAGTAGTAGAAAAGAGCTAAACCAAATGTTTCTGGTTTGAATCTATTATTTTTATTATGTAGGAAAAGTAACTAAGAGACACAAATGTTTTAAAATCAGTACATCTTCTCATGAACTCTTTTACTTCAGTGCAGCAGTTCAGCACTGTACTCAGCATTTATTTGTTTCATGTGCTATCAACAATTAAAAGAGACAAAGTCTCACAGATAATTCCTTGCCATCTTTATTCTTCTATGGGTATAATATATATATATACTCAACAAAGCAAGAATTATGTTCTTCTAGGTATGCATGTTTTAGCAGCCTATTAGCATAAATCTCTTGCAATATTTTGCAAATTACCTCAGATTTTTTGTTAAAGCACACTTTTCTACTATTGATCTAATTCATACATGTTTATAGGTAGTATTAAAAATGTTCTTAAAACACAGATTTTAAGTGTTTTCATCAGAATGAAGGCTTTACAGATAAAATGTACTTATTTCTTTCAGCAGTACAGTATTCATTAATTTCTGAAATTATCATTTGCATACACTTCACTAACTTTATCATGCTCTGAAATAAAATTATTGTTACAGATTTTAGATCTGATTATATATCTGTGGAAGCACAAGCATTTGAATGAGTAACAAGCCAATCTAAACAGCTGCTCCTGGCAATTAAGATCAAGGACTAAGGGAAAGGACAAGATGCAGCAGTTGGGAGACTGTGACGCTGTCAGGAGTGCTTGAAATTTATTTCTTAGTGACACTTCAAAAATCCACAGCAGTAGCTGACTTAGAATAAGCATACAGAACTAGGAGCAATAATAAGGGCTGGCCACTTTGAACAAATGTCTGGAAGCTTTTCTTCTCTTTGTTCTCATAAGTATATAAGAGAAGAAAACCTTGGTCACCTGTATATAGCAGTTTTCAAATCTGGCAAGGCTTAAGAACATGAGCAAATGTAAGGAGTCAGGTGGAAAGTATTGGGAAGAAAATATCAATGCCTCTTCAGCTTTTGTAACTACAATAAAGGCAATGATATTTGGACTGAATGAATAATGACATGGAAAGAACATTCAGTGAAACTGTCAGAACCTTGAATTCATCAAGACGGTCCAATTGTTCTGACCAGCCTATAAGCATCTTCTCTGTGATCTTTCTTGGTGACCTATTTCCCTTCTCTCACAGGTTTAACTACCTGTTTTCAAGATCAGTTCTCATGTGGGCCAGCACTGTCACCTTGAATCATCTTACTATGAAAACAGAACTTGCCTCTGAAATGTCCACATATTTTCATTTAGTCATGAGCTGCATTTAAGCTCAGGCCCTTGCACTAGATCCTGTCCTGAGCTATTCTGTCAATATGCATGTATCCAGCTTTGTATCTTGCTGATTCTGATCTGTTGACTTCACTACCCAGCTTGACTGCAAATCTGCTTCATCACAAAGGACTTGTCTAGTGATCACTCTTCCTACTTCCTGAAGCAAAGAGTAACAGTAATCCTAAACAGATTTTGTCTGGACACCCAATCAGATACATGGGCTAGGATTATATGGGTCTAGGTGACACTGCTCATGCTGGATCGTGGACAAGATGACTTCTAGAGGTCCTTTCTAACCTCAACCATTTTGTGATTCTGTGATTGGACAACAAGTTGTTTAGCATAACCTTCAGGCTGTTCCTGGTTACTGCTATTGGAAAAACTATTTCCTCTCTTTTGACAAGCTATGGCCAGAAGAATCTTTCTCATAATTTTCAGGAAATAGTTATCAAAAGAAGCAGAATTCCTTTTTTTTTTTTTTTTTTTTTTTTTTCAAATCATGCACTGGAATCAACCTCACCAGACTGCAGTTTCATCATCAAACTCCTAAGTTTGTATTAAGTTTAAATGTGCATATGTTTAAATTACTAACTTTATTCTGTTTAATACAATAGCAACAGAAACACTCCAAGTAATGTATATTTAAAGGCAATATAGCTATGGCTATGTGTGGATAATCACACTGGACCACAGTTATATATTGTTTTACTATAAAAATACTCTTAATTTCTCTTATTTTATATAGTGCCCATGGTCTCAGTAGGAAAGTAATACAAAAATCCATACTACACAAGTGAATCATCAAGGTGCTCTGTATTTAAATAAATAAGAAACACATACATGTATGTCCCTTTCGTCTCTTAGAGTAGCGAATGTGTTTCAAGTTCTGCTTGTCTGAAGCTCTTCTACTTTGGAACACTGAGTGAGTTTAACATGTATTAAATTACTTACAGTGAATCCTCCAATTATATTAAGACACAATCCCTCATTCAGACAGTTGACGCTGAGCAGGCTGCAGTAGTCGATTACTTCCTCACAGTTCTTTCCAGTGAATCCTGGCATGCAACTGCAAATACACCATCGCATTTTAGAGGACTTGTATTTTAAAAGTTAATTGTATTTAACTATATTCCATAATTCTATTAAATAATGCTCTTGTGGCAAAACCAAAACAGACCTTGTATGTTATTTAAAATAAGCAGAACATGTTTTCAAGCAATTAAAAATCAGTTGCATGATTCCAGATATTCTTGTTTCTCAAGAAAACAATTTATTTCATAGATTAAAGCATTTTCATACCAATACTTGATATTCTGGAAACAAATTCTGGCCAAGTTCACCCCTCCTGGTGCCCCCAGGGAATGTTCCACCACGTTCCTCCATGAGAGCAGGGAACAGCTGCCATCTTGCCATGAGTTGCAGGGAAACTTCTGCTTGGGCACCTTCTTCCCCTTCTTCCTCACCAACCACCAGCACCACTCTCCTTCCCCAGCTCCGCTCTTCTCTCTCCAGTGCTTCTCTGCTCAGGTGTTATATAAGTTCTTTCATATGTTAATTGTTGAAGCACATTTATTGTCCCTCTAATGGCTCCTTGACTGCGTTTGTAACAAGAGGAGCTTCTCAGCTTCTTGGAGCCACTCCTGGGGCCCTTTCCCAGCTACCAAAAAACCCACAAAACCAAAACAAAACATCTTTTAAATACCTAGAGGGATAGTCACTGCATTACTTCCCTGGGCAGCCTGTTCCAGTGTTTAACAACCTTTTCAGAGAATAAATTTTTCCTACTATCCAGTATCTAAGCCTCTCCTGGCACAACTGAGGCCATTTCATCTTCTTCTGTTGCTTGCCAAGTTGGAGGTAGTTGCAGAGAGTGAGAAGGTCTTGCCTCAGACTCCTTTTCTCTAGGCTGAACTGCCCGAGTTCCCTTAACCACTCCTCATAAAACATGCCCTTCACCAGCTTTGCTGTCTTCTCTGGGACACACAGTAGGGTTGTTTAATGCTCATTTTTTTTCATTCTATTATATGGATCCCATTATAAGGACTCTTATTTTCATATAGTGTATCAATGGAAAGGCTGTTAAATCAGCATGCCTTTTCTTAGCTTTTTTAATTGAGGTACAATGAGGCTTATGGTACAGAACATTTCTACCAGTAGTTTGTGAAGCTGTAGATTATTCAATCTGTATTGTACACATGACCAGGATACATATATGCATTTTTAAAGGAAGGTAATCAACACAGTGATATTAATTATTCATGTCATGCATATTTTTATATGTAAGCTTCAGGCATAAATTCATACTAATTCTTGTACCAACATACTGTGTAAAAGACTGGCTATATAATAGTAAATTATGAACAGTTTATATCTTAGTCTAAAGCATTGGAAAAAAAAAATATAACACTGTTGTTCTGTGCTATGCATACCTATATGGGAATATCTAACTCTGTGTATGTGTTTGTGTGTGTATATATGCATTTAGCTACAAGACTAAATAAAATTGTATGTCTTTTTTTTCGTCTTTGGGAAAATCTTAAACATAGTTCTACTTATATTTTGATTTCCAGACTTCTCAACTGCATCTCTTCTGATGGACTGTAACTGTATGTCCTATACTTCTGTGATGCATTTGCAGTTTCTAAGTTAATTCATAATGTGTTTTCAGACTTTTGTGTACCACAGCTTGCAATTTTCTGCTTTTATGAATATCCTAAAATTTGGAAGTTGTTTACTACACTTTAGCAATGCTTACCAGAACTTACTTCAGGCAGCTAGATAAAAGCCAAGCAAATGTGAAGAGCATAAATTGTGCTCCTTAGTGGTGTAAGAAAATATCTAAAAAGCTATTTAAAATGGAATGAAATTATATACCTACTAGGCCACTTCTGCTAGGTTTGAATGGATAATTTTTAGCATGGTCTTTCTGAATAAACTACTTCTTAATATGCTGCTTGAAGGATCAATCCAGGACCTACTAATCTATGTCTGTGAATCAGAAATTAACACAATTGTTTTATTCTTTCAGAAACATAAACATCATACACCCTGAATGGGAGTGGTACTTGTAGTTTAAGTGTCTCACTTGTCATCAATGTGTCAGGATTTATGTATTTTATCTTACAGAATTAATGAGGAAACAAATTAGAACTTCTTAACTGTTTTAAGTCTTTTTGTAGCACTTCAAGAGTTTTCAAGACAAATAACACAGTAGGGCACCAAAATTAAATTAAATTTTGTTAAAAGAAAAGGTTATAGCTTTCTGTGTGCTCTGTGACTGATTATGACTTTTCTTTCTGCTGCCAGTGGGATATCAAGTGATCCAATGAAGTACTGAAATAAATGAATTTATAATCTTACCGACAGTTATAGTTCTGCTGTTGAGCTACACAAGTTGCATTATTTAGGCAAGGCAACCACTCACATGGATTCAGAATTCTCTCACAGAACTTGCCAGTGAATATTGGCAGGCAGATACATGCCACGTCCTATAGAAGAAAAGGAAATTAGAAATAATTATTTGTTGCAACCAAGACAATACAGAAATTAGTGCTTACCTCCATTACTACAGACTCTAACTAAGATAGGGTCTCATCATATTAAGCAGTTTACAAAAACAGAACAAAAAGCAGCCCTAACCACAAATGGGTTACAAGCATAATTTGGGACAAGTGGAATATATCTTTCAGCAGAGATTATTCCAGAGTTGGGTTTGCTAGCTGGACATATACCAGCCCTAAATTTTGCTGGCATTGTGACTTCATAACTGAATAAAGAAGGAGCTTTGTAATTTATTTATGTTTTTTTCACAATTTCTTAATTTGCTCCAGTATAATCATAGAATTATAGAATAATTAAGATTGGAAGGGACCTTAAAGATCATCAAGTATATAACGTTCACATCTATCAAACAATAACAATGCACAAGCTAACTCAGATACCAAGCAATATTCACTCACTAGAGCAGGAATTAAAAAGGTTTGTGACCTTTTTTTCACTTCAAAATGAAGAACAGAGACTATACTTCTTTGTGCTGGTGAAAGACATCTGTCAGTTAATGCACTCTGTAATTTAAGCCATAAGAATAGTAAGTTATTTTACAAAAAATTTCTTTGTTATAGCTGTCACTGTCATCCTTATTTTTCAATATAAAGCAATGTTCTCTATAGGACTTTTGATGTCAGAAAGGAAAGAAAAAAATATATAAGGGCTTATTCCCCCAGTAAAATTGGAAGTATTCTGATGCTTCTTCAGAATAAATCTTAAAGGCATGACCAAGGATATTTGTTTTAACATCTGTTTAGACACTTTTACATGTGTGAAACAAACTACTGCAACTGCCTATGGAAATGATTGTACAAAATAGTATCTGCCAGTTTGTGTGTTAGCCAAAATATCTAGACAGATTACATATATACTTAGAAAGAGAGAGAGAGAGAGAAAGAAAAGGAAAGAAAAGGAAAGAAAAGGAAGAAAAGAAAGAAAAGAAGAAAGAAAGAAAGAAAGAAAACGAAAGAAGGAAAGGAAGGAAGGAAGGAAAGAAGGAAGGAAGGAAGGAAAGAAGGAAGGAAGGAAGGAAAGAAGGAAGGAAGGAAGGAAAGAAGGAAGGAAGGAAGGAAAGAAGGAAGGAAGGAAGGAAAGAAGGAAGGAAGGAAGGAAAGAAGGAAGGAAGGAAGGAAAGAAGGAAGGAAGGAAGGAAAGAAGGAAGGAAGGAAGGAAAGAAGGAAGGAAGGAAGGAAAGAAGGAAGGAAGGAAGGAAAGAAGGAAGGAAGGAAGGAAAGAAGGAAGGAAGGAAGGAAAGAAGGAAGGAAGGAAGGAAAGAAGGAAGGAAGGAAGGAAAGAAGGAAGGAAGGAAGGAAAGAAGGAAGGAAGGAAGGAAAAGAATTTTAGTAATAAAAATATTAGAAATACTACACATTTAAACAATGTCATGTTCCTTCATCAAGTATGCAAAGTAACTCAAAAAGCTGCATTAGAATTAAATGTTTTGGCACCTCCATGATAGAGATCCTCCTGGAAGCTATGTCAAAGCATATGGATGACAGTGAAGTGATTAGAAAGGGATAAGGGAAAACCAACTGATGTTATCTGAGACTGGGTGATAAATGGATTAAGAACATTCCTGTGGAGAAGGATGTGATAATACTGATTTGTGAAAAACCAGGCATCAGCTGATAGTGGGAACTTGCAGCCCAGAAAGCCAATTGTACCCTGGACTGCACAAAAAGAAATATGGCCAGCAGGCCGAGAGGTGATTCTCCCACTCTACTCCGCTCTCATGAGAACCCACCTGTAGTACTGTGTCCAGGTCTGGGAATTCAACATAAGAAAGGCATGAACCTTTTAGACTGAGTCCAGATGAGTACCATGGAAATAGCTATAGAGAAAGGCTGAGAGCAGGGGTTGTTCAGCCAGGAGAAGGCTTTGGAGAGACCTTGTTGTGGCCTTTCAATATATAAAGGGGGCCTATAAGAAAGATGGAATAAGACTTTCTACCAAGACCTTAAGCTAGAGGACAAGGGGCAAAGGTTTTAAACTGAAAGATAGTAGGTTTAGATTGGGCATAAGGAAGAAATTTTTTACTATGAGAGTGGTGAGACAGTGGAAGAGGTTGACTAGAGAAGTTGTGGATGCCCTGTCACTGAAAACATTCACGGTCAGCTTCAATGGCACTTTGAGCAACCTGATCTAGATGAAGACATCCTTACCCACAGCAGGAGGGTTGGAACTAGACCTTTAAAGGTCCCTTCTAATCCAAGAGATTTTATGGTTCTATGTTCAAATAGGGATCTCTGAAGTTAATACTTACATTTGGCAAATCGATACATGAACCTCTGTTCTGACATGGCATTGAAGAACATTCATTGATATCAATTTCACAATAGTGACCAAGAAAACCAGCAGGACAATCACAGACATGTCCAGACTGATTATATTGGCATATGCCTCCATTGAGGCATGGCTGAGATGCACAAGGATCTCCAAGTTCCTCACAAAGTGGACCTAAAAGAAATAAGCATAAAAAATTAGGGAGTGTTTGAGTGAATGATGTTTCTTGATATGCTGCCCATAAACATTACTTTGTGACTATGTTGTATTTCCCTATTATTTTTATTTATTTATTTATTTTAATTTTTATTTTAAGAGACATTTAGAAGCATTTATTTATTGTGTTTTTCTTAAATTGTCCAAAATGCAAAGCTGTCTTTACTGTCTGGGACACCTGTAAACTATCACCATTTAAAAATGAAATAACTTAAAATATTCCTATGTTTTGTTTGCTTTGGTCAATTAACATGGCAGAAATCTGTACTGAGTAAACTTATCTGCAGCAAAGGGTGGATGAGAAGTAGAACCCTAGTCCCAGGAGACACTGTAGAGTCACTGGGCATCTTTTTTTTCAGCAGTTACAATTAAGGGAGCATTAATCTTTGAAATATGAATACAGTACTTGTATATCTTCATATAAATTTCTAATAAAAATCAAGACAAGATTTTTTCTGCATATGAAGTTTCAATAAAGTTTTAATAAAAATTAAATCTACTTAAGGCACTGTAAATCTAGGTCTCAGAAGACACTAAGTGCAAATCTCTATGAACATTATAAAGACTACAATCTTAATGTTAGACCAAATAGGCAGTATCAAAGCTCACTGATGTGTTTTATACAAAAGCTCCAATCAGCACACTTGAAAATAGACATCTTGGAAGTACATGAATGAGAGGAACATTAGCTTCCATCAGAGGAAAGCCTATTAGAGAGAAAATTACAGTACCACTGGAAAAAACCTCATCAAGAGTCCTTAAAAACTTTTAGTTTCACTTCTTATCTTGACTAACTGTGGTGTTCAGAAGTTCTAAAACAGACAAAGTGAAAAGAGCTGGGTTGATTCTGAGCCTATGCTTCTCTGGCCACTGCTAAGTCAGTGCACATGGGCTGTCTCAGCTTATGGAAAGCTATTATTCCTTGGGGCAAGAGCAGGGCATTATGCAATTTAGATCAATATGCTATTCCTAGTCTAAAATCACTTCTCAGTGCCTCAGTTTGTTACAGAAAGGGATGCTCAAATTGCTGGTAGGGGCAGCAGAAAGAAAAGACATAATGGTCAAAATTGACAGCTATGACTTTGATCAAGAATGCCAATGTAGGCCACTCACAGAAAATCTAGATTTAAAATTGACTTTTTCCTTGCAGCTAGCTGCTAGTGTTTGCCACATCCCACGTACAGAAGAAAATCTAAGCTTATCCATCAACAGTGAATTCACTAATACTCCACTGTTTTTACAGAAGTAAAATGGTATGATTACTTATCCATATTATGGAAAGGTGTTTTTAGAAATGTAATGATTAATCAACCCTTTCTCTAAAGCAACATTTTCTCCAGATAATATTATCCTGGCTTGAGCCAGGATGAAGCAAATTTTCCTTTTACAGATTTTTTTTTTTTTTTTTCCCCCTTCAGTAAGCTCTCTTTTAACTATCAGCAAGTTTTCCATCTGGTGGACTGGTAACATTAACATGTTTATGTTACTGCTAAGATGCGAAGGTCACTTTGCTCTGCTACCTCAGATGCTACAGGGAGCAGAAGAGTTGCATCTGTAACCCTTCCATACAGAGGAGTGGACTAGACAGACGACAGCAAAATTGGCCAATGTATTGCATTCCATATATCTATGTAAGCTTGGTGTAAGGTCAGTGATCATGGAAGTCAACTTCCTTCCTGCGTCTTCTTCCCTTCTTTTGTGTCCATGGCCAGTGTCCAGGGAGGACTCCGTCCATCCATCACTGTTGAACCATAGGTTCCTGCATTCCTGATCCTCATCCCTCTCCCCTCAGGTCCTGTCTGCTCGGCCCATGTTCAGTCAGCACCCCAAAGTCCTTTCCTCATGACTGCTCTAAATCCATTCTCTGCTCAGCCTTTCTTTGTGCTTGGGATTGCCCTGACTCAGGTTCAGAACCTTGCACTGGGCCTTGTTGAATTTCACGCGGTTTGCACGGACCAAATTCTCAAGCCTGCCAAGGTCCTTCTGGATGGCATCCCTTCCTTCTAGCATGTCAACTGCACTACGCAGCCTCGTGCTGTCAGCAAACTTACAGAGAGTGCACTCAATCCCATTGTACATGTGAGATTTTTGATATTTGGACATTAAAAGCTTAAGGCCAGTAAAATCCAAATAAAGAAATTGACCTGCAACTGAAAGTTCCCTAAAAGTTTTTAAAATTTGCTCTAACATGCCTGTATTATGTGCCTCAGTATTCAGCAATCATGTTTGTAATATAATAAATGTAAACACTTAAGAACTGTAAAACTATTCAGGAGTTTGTTGTTGTTGTTATTATTATTACTACTGCTGTTACTACTACTGCTACTATTATTACTATTGTTGGTATTATCATCCGTTCTTTCGGCAATAATATTTTCAAAATAAAAACTGAAACTAGTATAAATTAAAGATGCAATAGTTTAAATATTGATAGTGAGCAATTCAGCTAGTTATATGAATTCAGGAGGAAGAGTCTTGAATAAAGCAGCAGCTGGAAAGTTGACATTTTGTGGTTTTTTGCTAATACACAGACTTTCTAGAAGCACATGGCAGGTGTTTAACTTTGTTTTCTCTCCTCAAAGTTACCACAGCCAGCTGACTGATGATGAAACATGCGTATGGAATGAAAAATCAAATGGATTGATTAGAATACTTGAGCACTTCCATAACGAATTATACCATCTGTAGCTTGGCCTTCCCTCTTGTTTACAGTCAAAACTAATGTGTGAGAAGACAAAAAAGATTGTGTAAGCAGGTGCCAAGCCACTTACATCACTGTAGATCAACTCTGAACTGAATAATCCTGCAGTTGAATGCAGTTCACAATAATAGTATACCATGTACAGCTAAAAATACTAAACTTGACAAAAACATCAACACATTTTCATCACTGTCTAGTTTCAGAGGGAGTCCACAGTGATATACAGTTATTAAAACCTTTTAATTCCTCCAAACAGCTTCAACCTTTAGAACTCATTAATTCTTATGAATCCTTTAACAAAATTTCTTTCAAATGAATTTGACAGATGTGAATGACTGAAGCCAGTGATTAATTTCTCTCTATACTTTGCAGCTAAATGTCAATTATTGTTAAAGATTATATGTCTTCTTTTTCTAATCTGTAGTACTGTAGCAGCAGGTTTACAATTAATCAAGAAGAAAGAAGCGGACATAGGGAATAATTTTTCAAAAGCTAACTGGTTGTTCAAGTCTTTGACAGAGTAACCTATTCAAGACGTATACTTTTTTTTCTTCTTCCCCCACCCCTTTTTTTTTTTTTAATTTTATTTTTCTTTTTCTTCCCCATGGTCCTCAGAAATCACTTTCCAAATGCCAAAGTCCTTCTACAACAGTGAAAGAGAATTTTGGCTAAGATTAATTCCTACTAAATTACTTAACAATGTTCAGAAACATGAATAGATTTGAGGCAACCGCTAAAGACCTGGGAAACAGATCTTCAGGGACATATCGATTTGAAATTCAATAAACAAGGTAAGGACTGAGGAAGAGATGTAAATTATAGGAATATATTCTGGGAAGGTGTGCCCTTAGGCAATTTCTGAAACCAAGGATTTGTGCTAAAAAAGGGGAAGCCTGAGGCAGCAGTGGAGATTGAGTATACTGAGGATGAGAGGAGGTGATATAAAAGGAGCAAAAATAGCCCTTGAATCTCAGGAATAGAGGACCCCATTGCACTAACACAAAAGCAGCAGGATGGGCTGAGTAGCTACCAATAGTCCTGTTTTGCAACCTCTTGTATCCCCAGAGGCAGAATAATAATAATAATTAAAAAAAAGAAGTTGAAAATAGCTGTTTAAAAAAGCAGTTTATAACCTTTATGTTATCAGTGAGAAAAAAAAATATATATTTTTTTTTAACTTGACTATTTCCATATTGTTGATATTTTATACTAACTCCTAAATTTTAAGAATATTGACTGTTAGAAAAATCCCAAAAATGTTCAGTTGTGCTAATGCCTAAAATGAAGGCTGTTCATATGGACAAAATGTGTGATATGTTGTCCAGTGACCACATCACATAATTTCATAATCCAAATTTATCTTCTCATCTTCTAGACGATGTATTAATTTAATGAGAAAAAATATCCCTAGATGTACCTATAGAAGAAAACCATAAAAACAAAATAAATATTTATTAAAGTTAGATAACTAAGTTTTGTACTTCTGTACATTCTATTAGAATTGTGGTGAGAAGGAAAAGGTCTGCTTATTGTAGCAGTTGATAACATTATTAGGTTCTGAAAAACAACAGATTAGTATAGCCACTGCAAGAAAATCAGCTTTTGAACATTCAAAGCTTGTTAGAACTGTAACTTTTAGTCTCCAGTGACCTCTGGGTATATTTCCAATTCCTGAGGCCAAATTGGACAACCATCAGCATTATTTAATGAGACAAACTGGGAGTATTCACATCTCTGGATACTGGGCAGAGCCTGGCAGCACCTGGCAGTTCTGGAAGCACTGTAGACATAAAATATACTCAGTGCCTGACTACGTGCCAGGGCACTAATACTGAGAGAAGAATGGGGCTTGTGGTTTCTCATAAAAAAGGGTAGTCATCCTCAAAAGCTGATAGTATCACCATGGGTTTATGATTCTAATACAGTGATGTAATATATAAAGAAATACAGGCCTGATATGTTAAAATAAGCCTTGAAAATTGTAGACACAGCATGTAGTGTAGGGCAGTACAGGTATTGCATTGGAGACCCCATGGCTGTAAACAATTCATCAGAGAACAGTTAAAGGAATGCAGGCCTAGAGTTGGTCTTAAGGGCAACAAAAAGAACAAAGGAATAGTATCTAACTTATGAAAAACCCACCATATACAACTACAGGCCAGTCAGTCTCACCTCTGTGGCCAGCAAGGTCATGGAGCAGATAATCCTGAAGGCTCTGCTAAGCCACATGGAACACATGGAGGTGGTTGGTGGCAAC